GCCACGCAGCTTGCACAGACATGGTTGCATGAAGCGAGAGTCCAACAAAACATACCTGAAGCCAAACAAGTTCGCAAAGCATAACGTTCATGTAAGAACGACACATCTTGGGTGAAGTTTCGGGCTGGAGCTTGTTCAGCCTGAAAGATTGCAGGAGGCTTCGACTGCCAAACCCCAAAGCCGCCCCTCCAAAATGCCAACAGGCCGGGCAACATTTTAGAACGTTGAGGATTTTACCGCTTTGGGATGAAACTAAAGCTCCTCCGACTCCGCCAATGAAGGCGGACCCATGCCTTCGAAACCACTCTAATAATAGGGCCCGCCTGAAATCAGTAATCCTTGTACAGAGAATCCAAGGGACTCAAGAGTGTAGAATTTCCTCTGCACTTGCGGCGGAATTGTTTTCAGCATCTTTGGCTTGGGCTTGCCAGCATCCGAATCAAAGTCCAAAAACTTGCAGATGAAGCCTCTTGCACACAATTTAGAAGAAACCCAGGGGTCCCAAAGCCAAGCCGACCAGAAACGCCGCGAAGCTGGAGGCCCCCAACCCTTCACTTTAACCCTAGAGCCCTGGACCCAACACACAATACGGTAGCATCGGCTCGAGGTGGCCACAGACCATTACACCAGACCCCTGCCAAGGCATGCGCTGCGAGGGTTTGGTGGCAGGCCGGAGGATCAGCTCGCGGATGATCGAAGAAATGGCGGCGGCCTCGGTAGTTTGCAAACAAACGTTCAATGCTTAATGGGAATTTTAAATGGCATTATGGAATTATCCGAATACAGAGCCTGCATGCACACTTTGGACTTCTTTCGCTGTGCACTCACAACTTTTGGGGGGTCCGTGGGTATGTTGCACACACGACTCAAATCTTCCAACAGACTTCTGAACTTCTGAACCTTCAAAATGCAGTATCAGAGAACCAAGCTTACTGAGGCCAGGGCTTGCGTGCCAGGTGCTGGACACTCTACTGTGCGAGTCTACATGCACCTCGCACGACTTATAGAATTCTAAACTTCTAAACTTGCCACCAGTTCCAAGAAGGGAGCTGAAGGTCAACACACACATCCGAGCACGCCCACTGCGGTCCAAGCCCTCCAACGTCTGCCAAGACAGCTGATTCCAGCGTCAGCGGCGTCTGAAATGCGACGGTTGACCCCGCAGGCAGCACACAGAGGAAATGATGTGAGCTGTTCGTTTGTGGCAGGCGTCGGTCATGAGACGAACCAAAGAACAACGAAGGAAGGTATCACGGTATCACGAAATTGAAGCCCAATGGACACTTTCAACCCCCCAAACCCCTATGTAATTAAGCCACAAAACCCCTCTATACCCATATATACATTATAAATAGAAACCACGAGCCCAAATTACCTGCACCCCTATACACATCCCGAACCCCTTAAGTCGCTGTATTAGCCCAATTACCCTTGTACACTCCTATATAAACCAAACACAGCGCGAAATCTCAAAGCCGAAACCCCTGAACCCCTATGAACCCCTAACCTCGAAACCCAAATAACCCCGAATCCACCCTAGCCTCAAAAAAATACTCCGCCCAAAAATTATCCGCTCCAAAACGTATGCCTGGAATCCGAAAAAGTATAGATTTTTTCGTGGGACTGAAAACAGTATACCAATGTACCCGCTGGCTGGAGCCCTATACGCCCAAACCTCCTGTCCGCTGCCAGGAAACTCCAAGAATCAGCCGCATTCCACTGCAAAAAAAGAGTCGCGCAAGCTTTAAAGTGAGAAGTCTGGATAGGATTAGGGATTCGGGCCACCGATGATGCTTCGGTGAGTGTCTTCTGACTGAGGCTGCCTTAGCTGTGGGTCTGCTGGCTGAACCGCGCGCTACCACTTCTTGGCTGAAGTGAATAACATCAAGATTTCAGGTTCATCCCAGGCGGTCGGCGGTATTGGTGTTCCCAGAAAAATCTCCGAATGCGACACTGCATCCCTGGCCTGTGGGGGTAGGACGCAGTGCCGCAGGTGCACAAGGTCTGTGGCCGGCATCAGGACCACTTCCAATCCGGGCTTGCCGATGCGAGTGCCATCAAGCGCGATGGACATCCTCAAAAGTTCGTCCAAAACCCAATCAACACGGACTAACCCTATTGCTATGGAAATATGTTACTAACACTAGAGCTTCAGATTTTCTGGCAAATGGCGAAGTAGGCGTAGAAAATGTCAAGCGAAGGGCTGCCTGGTAAGCGGCCATTTCTTCGGCAACAACCTTGGGCGCCATGTTGCGGTGGGCTCCTTCCAGTGACCGTGTGGCAGCTGCAGCAGATTGCTCTCGCACGCACCACTGTTTCACGTGGTAGTCCAGTCTGCGTGCTTTCGCTGTTCCGCCCAGCACTGCTGCGGATGTTTTGTGCCAGTGAAAGTCGCCCCAAGAGCTTGCCCGTGAATGGACATTGTGCCCCAGGTTTGTCACAATGCTTTGCAACCACTGTCGGGCTGCCGGGCAGGGAAGCAGGTTGTACGCATGCCTCAACTGCTGCCACAACTGTGTTTGCGGCGGTGCTGCTTCATCCACGACGCAGGTCCACTGACCCTGCTGAAAGCAGGGACAAACACCTTCAAGCTTTGGTTCCTTGGCGCATGTGGCGGCGACCGAAGGCGGAGGATTCATTGGGCTGGCATTTTCAAGAGGCGCTGCAGATAAGCACATCTGAAAGAACACTTGGCCAACATTATCCACCACCAGCTGTGCGTGCTTCTCCTTGCCTCAGCTACTCGCTATGCCTCCTAAACCTTAAAACCTGAACGAGACACAACGGTGTGCAATGGTGGGAACCGGGTTTCCACTTCGTTGTATAGGTCTGCAGAACCCACTGTGCCATAGGTCTAGATCTCTCTTTCTAACAAAGAATTTTAGGGGCTTCCAACGACAATGGATCCGCTTACTCGAAATCACATAGTGTGGCCGATACTCCAGGCGAGGTACGATTCAGTGACCAGTGAACCAGAAGGCTTATCAGCGCAGCGGTTGAGAACCAGTGCTCCTGCTCAGAGTCTTTGGCATCCCCTCCTTCGCCCACCACTGCTTGTCGGCTTTTCCCCATGTGCTCGGACACGTCAAAGCCCAGCCCAGCCACAACTTGTTTCCAGCTTGGCCAATGCTTCATGATCAACCTCCAGGGCTTGCTCGACTCTGCACCTGGGGCAATGAAAAACCGTTTCAAAACTTGGTACTGTTTAACACAAGTGTTGAAGTTGAATCGTGTTGTCGGTAAGTAGATTATCGGTAGCGCTGTCGGTTAAAATCGTCATATTGAATGGGAAAACGATTCTGATGGAGCTGTTGTGCTTGTGGGCCCACGTTCTCTGCTTAAGACTTCTTGCCATTCACAAAACATGGTCAAGCCAAAGGCTTGCAAACGCTGTCTGCCCGGCGTCGCGTAAAACAGGCCGAAGCTTCGCGATACAGTATCATGATGATGTCGTCTTGGCAATAGAAGAAAAGCCCTTATCGGTAGCTTCCTCCGGATATCGGGGAAGACTTCTTATGAAAGGATAATAAATTACATAGAGAGACCCACCAATGCTAAACCAAGAGATGCGGGGTCACGCCTGTGGTTTTGTACGACACATTCTCGATCATGCGTCGCACCTCCCACCGCAAATCACCACGCTGGCCTTCAAAGGCCTTCCATTCGCAGGCCACCCTCTCTCCGGAGGGGAGGACGGCAGAAAACCGAAGGAGTGCCCCCATTGTAAGGTCATGTTCTGTCATGACCGGCAACTACTGTTACACCTTGTTCAGGCTGGCATTGCTCAAGCATAATTTGTCGGCCCAAAAAGGCTCTGCATGACAGGTGTCATGATCCCTAGTGCTATTTGCAGACAAACATCACTTAGCCATGCTGGCCAATGTGCACTAGCTGTCACTAGCTCCGTAAGCCAGGCTCACTGCCGGGGCATCGGATGGCAGTTGTCACGTAAGCAGATCACCAAACCATCTTACCAAAACGCTCACCGGAACGCCCTTTTGCAAAAGGACCCTGCCGAAAAGGACCCTTCTGCAGTGCCCGAAAAAGAGCAAAGGGCTACTTAGAAACCCAGCACCTGGGAATCAATCCCTATCCCGTATCGCACCCTGTTTGTAACTTATAGAGCCAGCCCCCTGGCAACCCTTTCAAGAAGAATGTATCCGAAGCCTTATAGTAACCCTTATAGAGTCCTTCTGGTAACCCTTTAACAACCCTTTTTGAAGGATCATGGGACTTAGTAACAGCTAGTCATTGCAATCGGAGGAAGTTTTGAGCTGAAGGGAACGGTCCAGAATGCCCTGCCATCATTCAGCTCCTGACACCACTTTTTAACCTCCTCAAGGTATTTGCTTCGGACTTGGCACAATTGTTTGTATTTGCCTTCTTGTCCTTCCAGCTTCTTCGTTACACTAACCATGGGATTGGACCCGGAAGAACTCTTCCGTGAGGTCTTCTTCACCGCCCAAGGTCCGCTTGCCTTCGCTCTGGGCCCGGCGTTGGCTTTGCTCTTTGCAACTGAGCGGCTTTGGACTTTGCCTCGGATCTTGTCTGCCACCACTTGATCTGGGCACTGGCATCCACCCGTGCCATCGATGCCTCGTCCTGCCATCGGAGACCTTACTTGTAAAATCAAGATGACCATATTCAGCTGTCCTGGGAATCGACGTCGGGCCCACTCGATGCCTCCTCTAACTACACTTTAACTACTTATAACCCCATTTCAGGTACTTATAACCTTACTTACTAGGTCCCATGACCCTCGAAGCATACGAAAAAAAGCCCATGTATCCCAAGCCTCGATATGGGGGTTTCCGAAAATAGGGGACCCTAATCTAGTACCCTAAATAGTAGGATCCTTATTGTAAGAGCCCAAAATACGGTACCCCAATTTACGGAAACTCTAAACCCTAAACCCTTTTTAGAACCCGTATAGATCCCTTTAAGGAACCCTTAAAGAATCCCCATAAAGGAACCCTACATAGAAACTCCCATATCCCTGCCTTCTCACGAGGCCGCTCACCGCGGTTGCACGTGAAGGACACACCCGGCTCGCCGGGGGCCCTGTTACGGTTGATGATATAAATCCTAGGGTTCCTTTAAAGGGATCTATAAGGGTACCTTTAAGGGGTTCCTTTAAGGGATCTATAGGGTTTTAGGTTCAGGGTTGATGATATAAATCCTGCATTACCCATAAGAAGGAGTTTACCATAATTCCCATAGTTTATGGTCCTTGGGTAAATGCAGGATTCATGTCATCAACCGTATGTCTTCGTTTCAGCGTGTGAGTTGTGGTTTTGAAGGGGTTGGGGTGGTGATGCTCTCCTTTTATAGTTTCGATTTTGCCTTGAATTCAAGACTTCAGCATCTTAGATCTACTTAGCTGTGTGGGGTTAACGTGAATTAGTTCTTCTGGTTCGGGCTTATATAAGCTTTCCAGGGTTCAAGCTGGAGGGTTTACAAGGACCCTTGGCCCTTTGTTGAAAAACGTCAAGAGGACCCAGTCTTATTACACCCTTCGTGACATCGATACGCTTTCTCTACTGCTCTGCTCTTTTGCTAAGGAGACCCCAGCAGACAAAGCACATAAGCATAAGAGTACTTGGAGAATCAGGGGACTTGAAACATGGTTCTTCATAGTCATAGTCCTAATCATAGTTGCCTGACTTATATGGGAGTTCCCGACAATTAGGAGGCCTTAATGTAGCACCCTAAATTGTCGGATCCTTTTTATAAGGACGCCAAAAGAAGGGACCCCTCATTTTCGGAAACTCCCATATCTCGACTGACGAAATCCCCAGGTCTTCCCCAGACCCTCAAACCAAAATCGGGGGTGTTGATAATTGGAATGGGGTTTCGGGGTCTGGTATACCATAAATTTAATAAGGAACCCCAAAACCCTTTCCATAGTGGGCCCCTATAGTACCCTACTCCGAGTAGTAGGAAGCGCGCCGAAACAGTGGCCCAGGCGCTGGAAGCCCTCCGGAGCTCGCGATTGCCATGTCGAGGTCTCGATGGCCACGGTAAGCCGGTAGGGCCCTCCGCCCTCATCCGCCCAGCCTTGGATGAAGTATTTCCAGAGCTCGTTCGGCTTGCAGAGATGGGAGTTTCCGAAAATAGGGGAACCTAACATAGTACCCTAAGTAGTAGGATCCTTATTCTTCTACGGACCCCAAACTAATCGGAAACTCCCCTAATTATGGGGTTTAGGCTGAGCATTTAGGATAAATGGCTGGTTAGGCTTAGGGAAACCAAATTATTTACTATAGATTCCTATTATGGTAACTTAAATTCGATTCCTTAACAAGAGCCCAGTTTAAGATAAATGCTTGCTTGGGCTTCGGGGCGAATAGCTGGTTTCGGGACGGTAAGCGACGATTGATCGAAGATTGCTTCTTTGCGCATGCAGAGCAGGCTGGCTTAGAATATAGGGGCCTTACGGGGTATAGTATGCGACAAAGATACTATAATGAGGCACCACCCCCCAAAGCAGTATAGGTAATTATTAAAGCCCCTATAGCTAAGCAGAACTCCCAGAACTTTACTCACAACGCCACCATAGCCTAAGTGGAGATGCCCACTTGGAGGCTCCGGGGAGAGAGCTAACGTAAGAGCCTTAAAAGCTAGAGTAGGGTTCCTTTAAAGGGGTCTACTAAAGGTTACTATAAGGGCTTAGTGTAGGGGCCTTCATAGTTCGAATCGGGTTTTGGGGGTTGCTGATTTTGATTGTAGTTAAAATATACCCACAAAGCCTGTTTTGAATTCTTAAGGCCCTGATATTTGTGGCTCTGCACTGAGTAGAACTCCAATGACAAGGGACATCAGGGCCAGTAGAAGCCGTCTCATATATATCCTGCGTGCCACGTCTCTTGATCCTTTCAGAAGCTGCTGTGCTTACGGCATTGAGAATCAAGCTAAAAGCGGACCTACCCTAAACCCTAAACCCTCTAGTTGCACCTTTCAAATGCTGAGTCCCACACCATCCAAATAGCCACCGTCCGCGGCTGGCACTGCATCTGCTGCTGTATCCTCAGCTCAATGAGATTTAGTGCACATATCGTTATTTTGTGTTTAGGGTTTAGGGGTTTAGGGTGTAGGGTTGGGTCTTTACTTCAAGTCTCCACGCCAAGAAACTCAATACATACATTCGCCGATTTTCTGAGGAAGCCGAATATACATGCACCACATAGACCGTAGATTGTTGGGTCTGCGGTTAATACCGGCTGGTCCTCACGTTTGGGTGTGTTGGCGTTAACGAAGATCCGTGATGGGATCCTTGTCTCGAAAGCATGGCTCAGGCTTTGTGTGTGTGTGTGTGTGTGATTCCTTTAAAGGGATCTTCAAGGGTACCTTTAAGGGGTTCCTTTAAAGGATCTATAGGGTTTTAGGGTTTAGGGCTGACGATATAAACCCTGCATTACCCGTGATAAGGAATGTACCAGTATTTCCATAGTTTAGGGTCCTGAAGGCAATGCAGGATCTAGATCATCAACAGTTCGACTCTGTTTCGTGGTAACTATCTTGCTGGTCCAGAAGATTAAATATGCGGTTATACCATAGCAGGGATAATCGCATCCATTGGAGGTTACCTTCTCTACTACTAGGGCACGTTGTCAAAGCTGCCAGCTTTGAAGTCTGGAGTGCGCCAATTCGCAACAGCATGGTTCAATCCGGCTTCGGCTGTACGTGTCTGTATGTTTGCGGTTATGTGCAAACAAAGCTCTGGCTCAAAGTCTAGACCCTAAAGCTTACTGCAGTTTCTCAGTTTCTGGATACCGTCAAAACCTCCAAAGGCCCTGCACTCTGAGTTCAGGCACAGTCGGGTAACTTAAACGATCCAAAAACCATCTTTATAAGTCCCCAGCAGGGTTGCTGCAAGCCTGCGATGGTCAAGTGCTAGTGTAGACAATACGACTAATGTTGTTCTCTTATGTCTGCAATGTTGACAATGATTGCCCAATATGGGTTTGATTTCAGCACAACATGAAGAGGGGCCGAGCATAACAGGCCGCCTGTACAAATGCTACAGGCAGGCTACGCCAGAAACTGTTGAATACAAGCAACCCCAGTAGCATAAGCCTGCAAGCCGATCTTAAACCACCAAACCCTAAACCCTAAACCCTAAACCCTAAACCCTAAACCCCTAAACCCTAAACCCCAAACCCTAAACCCTAAACCCTAAACCGCAAACCCCGGATCCGATGTAGCCGAACCACAAGCCCTCGGATCGCGCGCAGTTGGCCGCGGCCGCCCTCATCTATCCAACCTTTCACCTTGGCTCAAGCTGGGTTAAAGTTGCCTGGGGGTTGGGGTGTAATATAGGGGCCTTAATGATTCAATGATAGGGTTTTGGGGCCCATTAATCATACTATACTATACTTATCATAAGGAACCCCTGAAATGGTAACGGTAATTATTGAAGCTCCTATACTACCCTTATAGTAGCCCTTACAGACCTCTTTAAACGGACCCTATGCCAATTATTAAAGCCCCATACTATATCAAGCGTTTCCGGGATCTATCTTCGAGATTTTGGGATACGGGGTTGCGGGCCCAGGATTGAGTCTAGGATTTAGGGTTTGCCGGGGCAGGCGACCAGCAGCACTGCAGACTTCTGCCAAAACGAAGCTCGAAATCAAAACCGCATCCCCAGAAGCGAGAAAGCCGAGAATCTGAAAAGCACAAACTCCGGTTTAGGGTTGAAGTTTAGGGTCCTGAAACCCTGGACCCTAAACCCTGCTCTCAAGCTAAAAACCCTGAAATTTGGATACACACCTGAATGTTTCTCCCAAGTATGCTCGAATCTCGCGGTAGGTAGGATGGATCTCCAGCATCAGAAAAACCAACATCATACCAAACAGGCAAAACCTTGCAACAAACGTAGATCCAAGAATTCACACCTTACCAACAGAAATCCTGTATCCTTACAGAGACCCCCCTCACGACCAAGACCAGAAAATGGTTTAGCGTTAATCGTGGGGTTTCCGCCAGTGTTCATGGAACCCCCCGAATGTGATGACTGCGGGGCCTAAGGCCCAAAGGCAGGATCCTTGTCCTACTTGTCGGGTAGCATGGGGAACTAAAGGTTAGCCTTCTTGGTTATATAGGGATTATACCGGGGCTATACTACCCACAAATGGTTCAAGGTTCCCTACTCTACTACTAGGTTGTGTTCATGTGCATCATATCAAGGACCACTGAGAAAGGCATCCGAAACGGAAGGCAATCTAGTGGCCGTAATCATTGGAATATATTTTTTGGGGAGTGTGTCCTACTATATTATAGCTATGTCAATGTGGGGATACGGTTGCCAAATGTTCAGTCCTCTGTATTGACTTCGGCGGGGGTGTTCTCTACAGTGGGGTTCCTTCGTAGGATCTTGAACAGAAATGTGACATGCGCTTGGGAATCGGATCTAGCACTGGACCCTAGCTCGGAGTTTTGTCTGCATGGGCAAGCCTTTCTTCATGCTCAGGGCTCAGAGTGTCAAAGCCCGACCTGAAAAAAGTTAGCCCCCAAAAGGCCACAGAGCCATGGTTGATGATACAAACCCTGCATGGCCCGTAATAAGGAATATACCATTATTATTCCCATAGTTTGGGGGTCCTTAAGGCAATGACTCATTCATTAACATGGGAGTTTCCAAAACTAGGGGACCCTAATCTAAAACCCTATATAGTAGGATCCTTATTCTAAGGACCCAAAATAAGGTGCCCTAATTTTCGGAAACTCTAAACCCCAAACCCTTTATAGAATCCTTATGGATCCCTTTAAGGAACCCTCAAAGGATCCCTTCAAAGGACCCCCTAATGTTTCGGAAACTCCCATATCATTATACCGCGGAGCAGACTTGCAGAGGCCCAGATCAAGCTGGCTCGCAGACCCGGCACCTCCGAAAGAAAGAGATGAAACCAAACCACCCTCTTAGCTTTGGCTAGTAGGGAATGGAGGAATGGTACTACTACTACTACTACTACTACTACTACTACTACTACTACTACTACTACTACTACCATCCTTCCATTCCCTCCTAACCAAAGGTAATCCCTGAATCTCAAGGCTGCTGTGGGGTTTAATCTCGGGGCCTTAAGAATTAGAACGGGGTTTGGGCCCCACTATACTGTGATAATGACCTTACCCCAAGTAGCCGACCTCTTTAAGGACTTGAAAAAAAATCATATTAGGGAACCCTCAAAAGGCAGGTTCCTTAGAGTCCAGGTATACCTAATCATAATACGCAACTCCCAAAATTCAAGGCTGTCGCGGGTTTTTGGGGTTGCCGTTTTTTAAAGCTCCTTTTTAATGATGTCCGCCAGGCAGTCGGCAAGCACTAGAGCAGTCTTCTGGGTCCCGGAGAAGCCCCGGATCGGCAAACCACTGAAAGCCTAAACCCAGACCCTCGGGAGGATCCAAAAAGTAGATCCCTCAATGAGGGTTCCTAGAAAGAACCCTTAGTAGTATAGGGTCCCAAATTAGGGCATCTACTTTCTGGATCCTCCCGGGGGTCTGGAAAACCCGGAAACAGCTGAGCACCAAACCCTGTTTGGGCACCACCGGGGGCTTTAGGATTATGATAAAATGGTGGCCTTCACAATTAGAATAGGTTTTGGGCCCAGTGTCCTATAGTATCAGCAATGATGAGGAATGAGGAACCCTAAAATAGCATAGGTTTTTATTTAGGCCCATATATTAGTGTGCCATGACTCTTAACCGTCAGCTTTGGACCAAAGAAAGTGTGCGGGTTGCTCAGGGCTGTTGGGTTCCAAGTTCCCGCGCGCGCGCGCGCGTTGAATGTAGAAGCCTGACTAGCACTCCTGCTTGAAGGGCTTGGATACATGATACCGGAGGCTGACTGAAGTGGGCTATAGGTCCGTGGGCTGTTCTAGGAGGGGGTTTAAGACGTGCAAGATTTGGACATTACTACTAGCTCTTCGCAATTACCCTGAACCTAAACCACCAACCCCTAAACCCGGAACCGCTGCATCTGAGGCACCTAAGTCTCGCAGCTGCTTGCTGATGGCAGAGGGGCAGTTGATCCAGTCTCCGGAGACACTGCCCACCATCCAGCAGCCTCAAGAAGCTTCGCTGCTGGGTTTCAGCTGGCTTTCGGATCAGCTTAATGTAGGAGCCTTCGAACACAGTTTGGAGGGTATTCAAATACCTTAACCTACCAAAACCTACAAAAAAGTAGGGTCCCTATAAACTCCATATTAGGGTTTATAATAAGAACCTACAAAAAAGTAGGGTTTGGTAGGTGGAGGTACAACTATATGAAGGAGCCCCCTAGGAGGAGTGTAAATGATTCGAGTGCTCCGGCTTCTATTAAGTGGATACAGTTCTGGGGCGACCTGCATTGCATCGCTCCTCCGGAAAACCCTCTTTATCGCGCGCACACGCATCGAAGACGTATACATGAGACCAGCACATATGGCAACTGACAAACAGAAGATAAGGTCACACAACAGCCAGGCACTGAATGATCTTAGGTGTTGGCTTGAAGACCCGAAAGGAGTTCTTGGCAACCCGGCCAAATCACACCAACAACAAACTGTGCTCCAGAAATAGCAAGTAACCTAGAGGTGAGAAGCAGCATAACCCACCCACTGTGCCCCTTTCTGAAATTCCAAGCCCTATAAACCATGAGCCAAGGGTCAACTCTAAACTTCTAAACCCTAAACTAAACCCCTAAGCCCTAAACCCTAAGCCCTATAATCCCTATAAGCCCTACACCTAATTACCTAGTTGCTGAGCCCATAAGCCCCCCAAAAGTGTACACTTTGATTTTAAATAGGCGGTAATATGATCCCCAAAAGGTGTAAAGTGTATCCACTCAGCTACTACGCCTAAGCCCTATAACCCCTACTATAAACCATGAGCCAAGGGTCTCGTTCGTTGCCTCAGGGCCTGGACGTTGCCCGACGCGACGCTGGTGCGCGTCTGAGCCTGCCCCGATCTGGGAATTTACGATTCAGGTTTTTTTTTTTTTTTTTTGAGGGCTCTTTTCCGGGGTTTACGATTGAGGGGTTTAGGGTTCAGGGGCTCAGAGTTGATATAGGGGTTGAAGTGTTTTGGGGGTTTAGGGGTTTAGGGTTCAGGGGCTTAGGGCTTAGAGGGTTTAAGTCTTTTGGGGGTTTAGGGGTTTGGGGGGTTCAGGGTTCCGCGGTTTAGGAGATTTGCGGTATCTTGGGGTTTAGGGGTGTAAGGGTGTACGGTTTAGAAAGGTTCAAATGTTAGGGGTGCTTGGGGATTCACGGCGTTGGGTGTTGTCTCAGATGTTATGCCGGAAGGTGTTCGCGGGGTGCATATTTCTTTGGCCCATTTCATACATATGGGAGTTTTCAACATAGGGGACCCCAATATACTACCCTAAACGGTAGGATCCTTATCATAAGGACCCCAAAGTAAGGTACCCCTATAGTTTTTTCGGAAACTCCCACATATATCTTGACAACTGGCTGCTCAAATCGGAAGGTTGAGTTTTCTCAGCCTTTGTCTGCTGTCGGTTCGGCAATGAAGTCTATGAGCTTGTTCCGATCCGGGCTTTAGGGCACAGGGGCAGCAACTCCCAAACTCCCTATAGCGTAACACGTGAATCCACTAACTTGGGGCCTTAATAATTGGAGTGGGGTTTTGGGGGCCCGTTGTGGTATATCTACAATAAGGAACCACCAAAACAGTAATTATGGGTAATTTTAGGTAATTATTGAGGTCCATATATTATTTTACACTGTAATCACAATAAGGAACCCCTTAAGGGCCCCTAACATCGTACTTATTTCTCTATCTTTAACCATCCTGCCTGACGGTTCAACTTGTAGAGCTCTAGGCCACCACGAGCAGCAGATTGGGAGATGTCGCTGTAGGAAGCCTCTTCTCTGCCTGCTGGGCTTATGGTTTAGAGTTTAGGCTTTAGGGGCGTAGGCTTCAAGGGTTTAGGGTTTAATGTAGGAGCACTGACTAATTAAGAAACCCCGGGCCTATGTTTAGGTTTAGGGGCTTAGGATTTAGGATGCGTGAGGGGTTTAGGGTTTAGGGTTTCAGGGGTTCCGAGGTATGGTCTGAGTTTCCTCCATTCGTCTCCAAAGGGTGGTGGGTTTCGGGGTTAGGAGGTTTGAAGCTAGGCTGCTCAGTATCCACGAAAAACTTGTTCTATTTTTTAGGGGGGGGGGTGTTCCTGAAAACATCATAATCAGTGTACCACTGAACAGCCGAGTGAGGGTCCAGGATTTAAAGGGCTCCCCGTGATCCTGCAAGTTGGGATTGGGGATTTAGGGGCTCTTGGGGTTGAGGGCTGAGGGCCTACAGGCTCCAAAACCCCTGAAGAAGACAGGCGCCTAAGGCCGTAGAAGACCCAAGACCCTAAACCACGATAAGTGCCGCATGGTGTATTCCAGTATGTCGTGGTATTAGATTAGAGTTTATCCACCGGAATTTGGTGAGGCAACACCCTACGGGATGGCCTGTTTCCTGCAGGCTTTGCGGCCCACAACCTTCCTAGGCTCCTGAGTGACCCCTAAAATAACAAGGGTACCGTTGTCTTAGTTGCTGAGTTCATAAGCCCCCAAAAAGTGTACACGTTCAGTTTTGTAGCCCCCGCAGGAGCTTTTAGGGTTCAGGGTTTAGGGTTCTAGGATGCCCAGTAACCTAGCAATAAAAAGGGCTCCCTTTGTGGTATTGGGTAACTGTATACTTATAAGGAACCTAGGACTCCCCAAAAGGGAATAAGGGTACTACTGGGCATCATAGTGAGTGACCCCTAAATAACAAGGGTACCCTTGTTCCGAGCATAAGCCCACAATAGAAAGGGCAAAAAGAATTGTACTTGGGAAGCAAGCTCCTCCTAAATCCAAACCCTGAAGCCGTGTGCCCCAGACTCCTAGACTCCATCAGGGTAGGGCATCAAAGCGATTGGGCCCACGACCCCAGCTCTTTCTGGGAGCCCCGTCAAGAAAGCACACAACAGGATCTTTAAGACAACCCTAAACCCTGGACCCCGGAAGACCCTAAACTAAACCCTGAAGCCTTGCAAAAACGACGCCCGAGCACTTTATCGGGTCCTCGACCCCTTCGCAACGATAGATCCTAAACCGCCTTAAACTCCCGGGCCACTACCTTCCGAGCCTCGTAGTAACTCGCGGGGCCGTGCTCCCAGTCGATTCCATTTTCCGGGTCCGCTCTGGACCTTCCGGGGTTTGGCTTTGTGGATTTCTGTACGCGTGCACACACCCTCGCGCACGCGTGTGTGTGTGCGCGCGTGTGCGTGCACTTTTCTTTTTGCAGTGGGTTGGGTGTGGTTCTGGTTTATTAAGCTTTCGTAGTTTAGGTTGCACGATGAAGGAGGCATTCGGAGTGCCGGGTGTCTCAGCTTGAAATGAGAAGCCTGGGCTTTTTCGGGTCGGGAGGGGGGGGGGGCACTTTAGAAGGACCGAGAATCCCAAAGCGTCCTAGGTACTGCTACGGGGAATGCTCCCCCCCAAATCACTATTGTAATTCCTAATATACAGACCCTACATTCTACTATATTGGTACTTTGCACCCTTCAGGAATGTAAGCTTGGGGGCTTCAGGCTTACGTGCTGCGGCAATATGTTTAGCTTGTTTATCTTCGGAAGAGATATAAATGGGAGTTTCCGAAAATTAAGGGTACCCTTTTTTGGGGTCCTTATAATAAGGTCCTACTATTCAGGGTCCCTCTATTTTCGGAAACTCCCACACGTACACAGTCGGATCGGCTTTTATCGAGAGTCAAACTCATTCAGGTGCCGGATTATGGTTTCAAAGCTCGGGCTGTTACCAAAGGAAAAAGGGAAGGTTGCCTCAACCCCAAACGTATGTAGAATAATAGCCTGTTATAGGCTATAGGCAGTAGGCAACTAGTTTACCTACTTTGGGGGTTCAAGTGATAGTTCTGAAGCTACGTAGGGCAAGAGGGCTCTCTTGTTGCCCGGATCGAGCCGAGGAGGTTTAGAACGTTTGGGCAGCCTGGCATAGATTCGAGATGATAGGACCCTTAAGTATAAGATACTGTAAGTAAAGTCTCCCAACAGGAGCTCTGAATTACCCCCCCAAATAAGCCGAAACCTCTCTGCCGTCACTTCTGAATCCCCCACATGCGCCGTCCCGACTATATGTTTAGAGCCAAACACCTTGCTCTTGGGTTACTTGGAGATTCTCCGGATACACCCTAAAGCCTAAATCCTAATGTGGGGCCTTAATAATTGGAACATGGTGTGTTGGGGCCGATTGTGCTATAAATTTAATAAGGAACCCCCAGAATAGTATTGCGAATTATTTCAGCCCCTATAGTAAACTCGAACCTTAACCCTCAAGCTTCGCAGATTGAAGGCACGGCCGGGGCAACCCGGTCCCACCTCCCATGTCAACGCGGGCTCCATGGGCCGTGGCACAAGATACACAACCCACAAGATTGGGCTCTTGTTGATAAGCTCGCGTAAATTATTAAAGGTACCATAATAAGGATCTATAGTGAAAAAGTTATGGGTTCCTTATTGTGGTAACTTACTTATAAAACCCTAACAAGAACCCCACAAGAACGGGTGTTGACTGTGAAGGGTAGTGCTACATGTGCCCATCGCAGAGACTACCGGGCCGCCCCACGATCTCGTTCTTCATGTACGGGTGTAATCTTGATTAGTAGCCGTTTCATGACTATGGTTAAAGGTTCTTATTGTGGCACAAGAATAGATAGGATGCGTGATGGTGTTATGAGGCTACTGTCCGCCTTTCTAGGATAGTCTATCATATAGAGGCTCCTCTACGGCTCCATATGATATCCTATAGGGGCCTTCACCCCAAAACAGCTTCAATTTCTAGAAGCCATCCGAGCACCAAATGGCTGCGTCCGGTTGCAACGTGGCAGTCAACTGCTCCGCTTCAGGGCTCCAAAAAAAAGCACGTAAGCAAAACTTAGGACAGGGACATCCCATGTAAACTCCACTATACTGGAAGGGATATGCCTGTAACAAAGCTGATGCTTATGTTCTTTTTGGGTCCCTGAGGCTTAGGGTTCAGAGCTGAGGGTTTGGATTACGGTTCGGGGGTTTAGGGTTTAGGGTTTGAGGGCTTGTCGGACTTTGAAGGCTCAGGGGACTCAGCAATTTGGGGCTCAGCGCACGTCAGGTGATCAAGCTCACTTTGCAGCAGCTGCCGAAGGTTGGAGCATTTCTTCTACAAGCGCCTGACGGTAAACTCCAAAGCCTAAAAGCCAACACGCAAAGCCCTGAATAGGAGGGAGCAGAATCCATCGCTCTTACCATGCTCCAACCTGTGCGACTCGCTGCTGTAGGTTCTGAAAAGGGGTAGTTCTCTAAATTAGGGCCCCTTTCAGTATCCTTTCGCAACTGTGCCGTACTATGTCGGGGATCCAAAAAAGGGACCCTAATTTTAGAAAACTATCCATATCGAAGTTCGGAGAAGTTGCTGCAATCACGGTGGCATTTCAGGGCCTCCTGGACCTTTGGGGGCAGTCTTACCACTGGTTGCAGGGTCAGATTGCTCTTTCCTTGCAGGGTCTTCGGAGCTACGGTAGTACAGTAAGCCCCATAAGTTGGAAACCGGATTAAGGCAAAAAAAGGTGCTGGCATTCCCTATTTCTCTTTTTGATTTTTGAGGCTACTGGGTTTCCAACTTTTGGGCTCCTACTGTAGGGTTTAGGACATTTCTGGGCCGTAGGGCTCCGGGTTCAGGATGAAAGTCCTTCCGACTACGTAGTTCTCTTTACGGCCTACGAGATTTCGAGTCTGAGGCTCAACATAGTAGGGGCGAAGGGAACCGATGATGTAGGATCCTCATCCTCATTGTTTAATGTAGGGGAAATTATAATTAAGTGCCTATACTCTGTTGGGTGTTGCTTATTTAGTATACAGTATACTGGGCACCAAAACCCTATGCTAACCATGAAGGCCCCTATATTACACCCCAAGAGGAAGATCCAAGCCATATGTTTAAGTTTGGTTGCCACTGTAAGAACTTCCTGAACTTGGTGTGGGCTTGCTGTGAATGACACATGCGAACCTTCCTTGTCCGGTATCGTGGGGGTACCAAAAGTCAACCTCTTGGTTCATATGACGCCCTAGTGCTTAGTAAAAAAACGGGGGGAATGGACCCTATAGTAGCCCCTAAATAATCCCCCAAACTAGTCTCCATAATCCATTCCCCCATTCCCTACTAAGAACCAGACAGATCATGGGATGATACTATACCCCCCTTAGAACCATACTAAAAATACTATGTGTAATATTCTCTTGGGTTTTGTATGAACAAAAAAATTAAAAGAATAATTCCTAAGGAGACTATAGGATAGTGTAGTGCCCCCCCCCCCCCCCCCCAAGAAGGCGAAAAGTTACCTACTCTACCCTCCAAGAGCCGCTAAGGGCCGAGGCACCGGAACACCATCGAATTCAGGGGAGAACTTTGCAGTGGCCTCAATTCCTCTCTTTGCCGGCTTTAAAGGGCATCGCTGAAAAGAAAGCCCTGAAGCTAAGGCTAAAGCCTACTTGGAGGGTCGGGGGACTTAGTAACTGGTTATTTTAGGGACATGTAAGTACCATAACCCCAATGAAGGTCCCTTTTAGGGTACTTATTAATAAGTCTACTTACTACCTACTTACTAAGTCCCCCGACCCTCCAAGTAGGGTTTTCTTTGGGGCTTCGGTTTCGGGGCGACGGTGCAGACCTTGGTATTTCAAGAAGGCGCAGGGCCTGCGTAATGTCTTTGATAGAGCTGTTTCAAGGCAGGAACCTGTGAGGTTTAGAGCAAGGACCAACCAAAACGTATAATAGGGACCCAAAAAGGGACCATATTTCTGACAACCACCCAAGTAGGTAATGGCTTATCTTTTGATCGAGGAAACAGGGACAGAAAAAACAAACAGAGCGAGAGAGAGAGAGAGAGAGAGAGAGAGAGAGAGAGAGAGAGCGAGCACCAGATCGAACGAGGGAGCGAGCGAGAGAGAGATAGCGAGGGAGAGGAAACCTAGGATAAGCTTGATAAGATAAGTATACGGTAAGCCCCACAAGCAAGGCACCAGAGGGAAATGCTGGGCCAAATTTGCACGCGCCACCAAGGCCGCGTGCACTAAACACACATTTCGGCAAACTCAGCTGCCTACGAGCTCAAGAAGTCTTCCAAACGTAATGCACTGTTGATGATATAAATCCTGCATTACTTTAAGGACCCTAGACTCTGGGAATAGTGGTACATTCCTTGTTGTGGGGAAATGCAGGGTTTGTATCATGAGCCGTAAGAGCCTCATTAAGAGAAATGGGTATGGGGCTTTTGTTGGGGGTTAGGGTCCCTTATGACCCCTAAACCCTAAACCCCTAAACTCTTCTAGGTGAGATTTTTTAAAGCTTTCGAAAAGTATTCGCAAATAAGATCCTCTTAAGCCCAAGAAGCGGAATTTTAGAAAATGTCTCACAGCCCTACCTAGGTCGGTAATTCTTTAGCACAGTCAGCTCCTGGGTTGAGGGTTTAGGGTCCTTAACGGTTTAGGGTTTTGGGTGTTTTTCAGGTTTAGAGTTTAGGGTTTTTTAGGGTTTTGGGATTAAGGTTTAAGGATGACGGTTTAGGGTTCAAGGTTTCTTTTTTGAAGGTTTAAGGCCCCTAAGCCCTAAACCCCAAACCCCTAAACACTTAAGGTGCCCGAGCCCTAAACCTTGCTTGGGGTAGGGGGATTCCTGAATATGAGCCCTAGTATGGGAACCCTAATCCCTACTAAACCCCCATGGGCTGAAACCCCTTTTGGCCTCCTATGACAGTCTTACTTGGAGGGTCGGGGGACTTAGTAAGTAGGTAGTCAGTAGACTTATAAGTACCCTAAAAGGGACCCTAATTGGGGTTATGGTAGTTATAAGTGCCTAAAATAACCAGTTACTAAGTCCCCGAAACCCTAAACCCTTACAGAATCCCTATAGATCCCTTTAAAGGGGCCCTTAAGGAACCCATTCTAGAACGTCTTAACGTACCCGAACCCCTAAACCTTGTTTGCTTTGCGCCCCATAACGACCGGAGAGGGCTCCTAGGCTAAACCGGAGCGATTGCAAGCCGGCTGCAGCGGGTTTTAGGGTCTTCGGGGCCATATTAAGGGCAATATAGGGTATAGGGTTTAGGGTTTAGTTGGGTATATTTGAAATATTAAGGGCAATATGGGGTTTAGGGTTTAGGGTTTAGCTGAGTATAATTTAAATATTAAGGGCAATATGGGGGTTTCCGAAAATAGGGGTACCTTATTTTGCGGTCCTTATAATAAGCATCCTACTATTTTGGGTACTATATTAGGGTCCCCTATTTTCGGAAACTCCCATATAGGGTTTAGGGTTTAGGGTTTAGTTGAGTATATTTTAAATAGTGTCTAACCGTTGCAGAGTGGGGGCGTTCTCCGACAGTCTACCCGTATCCAGTGGAACAACTAAGCGGGTAAACTTTGAGAAGACTACGCGGCCTGTGGGTATCGGGTTCAGAACGATACGAAGGTATAGGAAGCCGGCCAAATTCGATGCTGGGCATTGGGGAGTTCAGTTGAACCTATACCGAAAATCTGAAGCTTTAACCTTGCATCCTAAACCCTAACACCCACAAAACCGCGTCTTACAAGAAACCCCTGTGAAGCGCTTGCAAAACCGCATAGAACCCTCAAGAATCACAATGAAACGACACATCAAGTGTCTTGAAGACTCCCGACTCGTGGCAGGTGAGTTGCCAAGCTCATTACGCCGCCGCTCGCGCAGGTGACGGATTTCGACGGTCGAGGCTTTCTCAGAGAAGGTCGTTTCCTTGGGCTTTAGGATTATGGCTTTCGCTGTTAAAGAGAACCCGAATTCACAAGCCCTGAAACCCAAACAAAGGTTTAGTTAGGTTTCTTCAAAAGCAAACCCTGAAACCTGAGAAACTAAACCTGAAATCTGAAACCCCTATATGGGAGTTTCCGAAAATTGGGGGGGGGTATCTTATTTTTGGCTCCTCATAATAAGGTTCCTAGTATTTAGGGTACTAGATTAGGGTACCCTATTTTCGAGAAACTCCTATAATCAACCCTGAACCCTAATAGGGTCATGCATAAGCAACTCTAACAGGAATTCTGTTCTCATTTTTCAGCCTAACCCAGGGTTGAACTCCAAAGCCAAGCCAGAACCCTGAACGTGAAAACCTCCCTAAGCACAAGAACCCTTAACCCAAGGTTGAACCCTGACACCTCAAACCATACAGCTCTATCTTGACCCTAAAGAGCCTTCCCTTGTAGGGGAGATGTTTCACCTACTTGCCGGGTATCATGGGGAACTAAAGGTTAACCTTTTTGGTTATATGGGGATTATATAGGGCCGATACTACCCAAACAAGGTTGAAGGTTCCCTACTCTGCTACTAGCAGCCTTCGCTTGTAAGGGAGATGCTTACGGAGATGATATCATCCAAGGGTAAAAGGAGGGACCCTTAATAAGGACCCCTAGGTATATACCCTTAATCTAGCCATTATATGCCCATTATAGGGTAGGGGTCCCCGTTAAGGGTCCGTCCATTTTTCCCCTTTGATATCACGGAGGCCCTTGTGGAAGGGCTAAGCTATAGGGCCCCAAAAAAGCACATGAGCAAAACTTAGGATAGGGATATCCCACCCCCTTATGGTAGGGATATCCCCATAAACTGCGTATGCTTATGTGCTTTTTGGGCCCCTAATAAGCCTGAACCCAGGCTTGATCCTTACGCTCTGAACCTGCGAGGTCTCGGGTTCTAGGCTCAGGGCTTTTTTAGGGGGTTCAGGGTTTAGAATAGGGGGCTTCGGCTTAGGGTTTAGGGTGTACATGGTTCTCGGTTTAGGTTAAAATTGGGGCTTTGGGCTTGGGGTTTGTAAGTCAGAGCGGCACGACACGATCTGCAGCATGTCGAGATACTCTTGGAACTCTTCAACCTTGCTAGGGTGTCGGGTTAGGGCTTTGCGGCTTGTTGATAGGGGCCACCGGAAAGAGGATCTGACCGCTCGCAAAAGCATTCCGAAATCTGCGTGTGAAGGAATCCTGATATCACGCCCACAAAATAGGATCATCATGTTCATATAGCCGCGTTGGGGAGGCAACCAACAGTTCGCCCAGCGTTGAGCATAGGAAACCCGTAGATGGTCTAGGAACAATACATACACAGTTGACAAACAAGTGCAACATTTTTTTCGCGGAGGCTTCGAAAGAATCTGTGCTTCGAGGATGGTGATGCGCATAGGGAGTTAGGTTAATGCTTACCATGCACTACCAACACCTGCTTTTGTGGGGTAGAAATACAATTTCATGTTAGGTTTGCAATCAGACACCTTTAACTGGGTTGTAGTTTTGGGGCTCTGAAAAGTATTTATGAATGGGTTCCTCTATAGGAACCATAAGGGAAACTAAAACGCTTCCCAAACTGCCACCTAGTGAATTAAAGTAGGCTGTGGTCTGTGGTGGTTCAGAGGGAAGCCTCTGGGTCAGGATTTTTGACTCCCTGGTTCTGAGTAGGGAATTTTTTTAAAGCTGAACTGCACCCCTTTCTCCGAAAGCAGCGCTGAGTAGGGAGTTTAGGGTTTAGGGTTTAGGGGTAGGAAATGGGGGGGAAGGATCCCAATGGTAGTCCCTGATAGTCGACCCTCTAACCCATTCCCGAGTTCCCTCTCTACTCCAGAGTTCAGGGTTTGGTAATTCGGGTTGGGGCTGTTTTTGGACTTATGGTTCTTGGGCAGCGTTTTTGGGCCCCAAGGCCTGCAATTAAAGTATGTTAGGGGTCTTCATGCTTAGGATAAGGTTGCTGGGGCATATGGTATTGTAGTATACCTCTGTCCATGAAGGAACCATCAGGAATAAGATTGGTAATAATCCCACCCGTGTATGAGGCCGCCAGGCACCTCAACTAAGCCGCTGGCGGGTACAGTGAGTCTCCAGTTCAACAGGGAGGTAACGCATGCCTGCGACAGAGACACAGCAAGGTTCAGGGGTTAAGGTTTAGGGTTTCAGCGTTCAGGGTCCGCCGCCGCTGTGTTGTTGAATGAGCTTGGAGGTGACAGGCCTCCTTCTCCACCCCTCACACCCCAAAATGCGCTGCCTGGAGGACAGGAAGGGCGGGGGGCCAACATTTTAGCCCACATGAATATGTTACGGTTGCGCTCTTATCCCCGTGCGAAGGAGGACTAAACTCCAAAGTCAAGGCCCAAGCCTGTTCACAAGGCGGGGGAGCGGGGGGATGATCACACTCAGATCAAGGAACAAGCTGTTCCACAGGACCAGGGGCGGATTAACAAACGAAGGGAACCACTGAGGAGAAGGCGTCCAACTTTACATCATAGTGGATAGGGGACTATACTTCCTTAAATAGTCCTTATGAGGCACTTATTATGGGGATCAAGGCCGCCCGCCCCCCCCCCCCCTACCCCCGTAAGGCTTCCTTCTTAAACGATCCTGGGACTTACTAACTAGGCCTACAACTAGGGTAACTTTACTTATAACCCCAAGTAAGATACTTGTAACCTTACTTACCCATGATCCTCCAAGTATGATTACAGCAGCCTACGCTGGATCCTTCTCCAGTGTGTGAGTCTTGGATGCGGGGTCTCCAAGCAAAGCTCTGCTACAAGCACTCCAAAATCAACCACCGGTAAACCCAAGCAGACGTCACAAACTTACAGCACAAGAAAGCTGTTAGCATTGGTGTTACAACTAATATTATTACCATTACTACCACTGTTCTTTATATTCGCTACTACTATCCATCAATATCACTAGTACATTCTATTACTCTTACGATGTCAGCCTGTAGTGACGCGGCCCTTCCCCGAACCGAACGAGTACGTGAGGCCTCCAACTTGTTCAGCTCTTTCAGCGAAATGCCACAAACTTTGGCATACTGCACCTGTTTTAGGGTATAGGGTTTTAGGGTTTAGGGTTGAGGGTGCACCGTGAATTGGTTCACAATTCTGAACTCTTGCTCTGGCTTAATATGGGGCAGAGGGCCCCCTATAGATAGAATAAGGTTGCGGAGTGGAGGCTACCCTAAGCATGTAAGAACTCTAAGAGATACTGTTGATGATAGAAAACCTGCATTAGCTTGAGGACCCTAGACTATGGGAATAATGCCATATTCCTTATAAGGGGTAGTGCAGGATTTAGATCATCAACCGTAGTGCTGTGGACTGTTCGTGTTTCCAGGCAGCCCCGGCTTCGGATGGGTGAAAAAATGCAACGCTAAAGCAATGCATGTATGCGAATGCTGCTGCAGCTTCCAGCTGGTCTTGAAGGATGCCAAGATTGTCGAGGCATGCACTGTGTGTGCCTTCTCAGAATCGGAGTTGTATGGCCACGTGCAGGCACCCATCCAGCTTGTGGAGGCTCCGAAGACCCCGCCTCCTCAGGTGCTCTGTGCTCGGACTTTGTAATGGCCTTCCAGGCCGCCGTCGTGGCACCATCTAAGCACCGTGGCGGCCTGGTTGACCCTCCTGTTGCGGCTCTTCAGGCCTGGGAAGATTCAGTCTTTTGTTTATTGTTTAATCCAAAAATGACATGATGTGAGGGTCACACTTGGCTTCGGCTCGAAGTTGCTGGAGTCTAGGCCCAGCTCCTGCATGAGCTTTAGCAGCGGATGCTCCACCGCTCCACCAGGATGTGTATATTCTGTCGCTATAAGGTTCCCGAACCAAAAGTAGTACCCCTAGTTCGGTAATGCAGGAACCTGATTAAGAAACCCTGGGCTTAGAACCCCAAAATAGTAGGGTGCATATAAGGAACCCCAATATAGGGCCAAGGTTTCTTAACCAGGTTCCGACATTACCCAAGACCACTACAGGATACGTTAAGAGATCTACATTCTAGATCCTGGCATGGTGTGGGTTGTGATAGCGGCCTTTAAGCGTCAGGGGCTGGGACTCTAGAGACACAGGGCTTGCGAGTTTAGGTGTTCCTACTGGTCGGGTATCATGGGGAAGCAAAGGTCGATCTTTTTGGCTATATAGGGATTATAGAGGGACTATACTACCCAAAAAAGGCTAAAGGCTCCCTACTCTAGAAGACTAGGGTTTAGGGATGTTTAAGGGTTTAGGGTCTAGGGCTTTAGGGGTTTAGCGTTCAGGGTTAGGTGCAGGTTATTATGCTGTAGTCGCGCTAGCGAGCCCTAAGGAAAATGAGTAATACTTCAGGCCCCTAAACTTGAAACGGTATCTATATTGGGGATTAGGGCTTTAGGGGTCAGGGCAAAGCGCTCGGCGCTGTTCAAATAAGGGTTTGGGCTAGAAGCTCTTCTAGACCCAAGAGTAACCCAGGAATACAAAGGGTGCCCTTTTTGGTTTCAGGGGGCTAAAAAAAAGGAGGGAATGTGAAACCTATAAACGGGAATAAGGGCCTGGAAGAATGTCCGGGGAGCCCAAAACCCTGATCCTTAACCCCTGAAGCCCCAAACCCCAAAGCCTAATACAGGGGCGCTAATAATTAGAATAGGGCTTTGGTGCCCACTATACTAGAATTACATTGATCCCCCAAATAGTTTTGGTACTAACTTAGGCCCCTAAGCCCGAAGTCCTGAGCCCTAAACCCCAAAGCCCAGACGCGCTCTGGAGGTTTAAGGCAAAATCTGACAAGTCCGACTCAGATCCGGTAAGAAAAGGCAATCCAGAACCGAAATTCCCAAACGCATGCTGCTGTAATGTAGGGGCCTTAATAAGTAGAATAGGGTTTTGGGGGTTCCTTATCATAACTATAGTGAAATCTACCCCCCAAGCCCTATTCTAATTATTAAGGCCCCTACTGTAATTTAATATATTAGAGCTACAGGAAGAACACGGTTTGAGGTTCAGTGTCGAGTGGCTGAGAGGCTCTAGCACGAAGACATGATCTCACCTACCTGTTTGCGCTTGCAGTGACTGCGGAATCAACAGTGCGGGATTGTAGACGAAAGCATTTGGGAGTTCCCGAAGTTAGGGGTACCTTATCTGGGGGTGCTTATAATCGGGATCCTACTATTAAGGGTACTCCCATTTAGGGATTAGGACCTTTGCGCTCAATAGACCTCTGCTAAACCCATGAACCTGCACAGGCAAACCTCGAGGAAGCGAAACGCTAAGGCCAGAGCTTGCAATCCGAAACCCTAAACCGCTGTCCTGGGAGTCGCTACTGGAACCCTTATCGGAATCCATAATTGGGTTTTTAAGTAACCAGGGAGAAAAATATACATTTGTGTTTTAAGATGGTTCCTTTAATAAGAAAAGCATTAAAGTATGGTACCCCAAAGCCCAGTAAAGGAACCCTCATGGATAGGCAGGCGGCATTGCGGAAGACATGGTCGTCGTGGATCTTTGCAGCGACGACCTTGGGGCAGAGCGCTCAAAATCTCAGAGCTCCAAAAGACTGGTTTAATATAGGAGCCTTTACAATTAGAATAGGGTTTTGGGGGGCTGTTATACTATACTTATGTAGGAGCCTTTACGATTAGAATCAGCTCAATTGCCCGATTCTCTGCATCGCGAAGCTTCTCAAATGCGCCCCCCTCAATCCATACCAGGGCGACACATGGGTAGTTGTCACAATTATGGTTCCTTTTTGGGGTCCCTCTTATAATACGGCACCTATCATTTAGGGGACCCAAAAAGGGATCCTAATTTTGATAACCACCCACATGAGGACGAGCTAATGCGGCCGACCGCATTCTTGAGGCCATCCTGGCCCATGCCAGGCTTAAAGGGGAAAAGGAGGGACCCTTAATGGGGACCCCTACCCTACAATGGGCTATATAATGGGTATATAATTGCCATATTAAGGGTATATACCTAGGGGTCCTTATTAAGGGTCCCTTCTCCCACTTCGGGCAGCCTCGAAAACACAGGTTTTTGTCGGATGTGCTAAGGGTCAAGGCCTCGATGCAATGGCCACGTAAACAGAGACAAACATGTTTTTGCCCATGATCCAGGATCATAACTCGTCTACAAACCCAAAGACTCCAGGTGTACAACTTGAGGCTACTTTTTGGGTCTATCTGAAAGTATACAAATAAGAAATAGTTTAGGGCTCAGGGCCTAGGGTTTAAGGTTGAGGGACACATCGCTTCAGCCGCCCGCTCGTCCGCAGATCCGAACTCCGGCAGAATGATTACAAACCCTAGACTTTTGGGTGGTTGTCAAAATTAGGGTCCCTCTTTGGGTCCCTATTATAATACGGCACCTAATATCTAGGGTACCCAAACAGGGACCCTAATTTCGACAACTACCCACCTGGACGCCAAAGAACCAGTTTAGAGCTCTTGATGAGGATTTCCCGATCTAGTCCTTTTTCAGGGTCCGGTACACCCGGAAATCTCCGCAATCAAAAACGGAAGCCTCCCATCGGATCGGAATACCTCAAACAAAGCACTGAAGACCTACCCCCCGCCCCCCCCGCGGCCCGGAAAAGCCCACGCCCTGAACGTGAAACCAGCAAGAACCCTAAAGCTTTCATCTTAAGCTCTGCCCAGAAAAAACAACCTAGAATCTGCAAGCTCTTATGCCCTGAACCCACTGCTCCTCAGCCATGAAAGCACCTTCGTTTGCAGGAGCCCTTAAAGAAACCCCGGCAAGGGAACTGTGAAACCTTGTACGAATTGAATCCTTCCAAGGGAAGCTACGGATAGCTCTCGGAAACAAACCGACAGACGAAAAGCACCCCTCAGCCGAGCTGCAGTGACCGCCCCCAGCAATCGGTGGATGGTCAACTTGTTTACTGAAATGATATCTGGTCTCGTCTTGACCTTCGCTTGCAAACTTTGAGGCTGGAACATCCAAAATCCTAGTATCTTGCAGTTGCTGTGCAAAAATACTGGGGTTTGTCGCAACATCCTGCTTGGAGTGTTAAACCAAACTCCCCAACGCCCTTAAATATCTTGTAGAACCTTCACACGAGCTTTGAAAACCCCTAAACTAAACCCACCGCAATCTCCCCCAAAACCCTGCCGCCCGAAACCCGAAACCCTGCACCTTAAGACTCCAAACTCTACACATCAAAACCCTAAGCCCCAAATCTTAATATCCAAATCAAGCCCTACACCTTAAACCCGTAAACCCTAAAGCTTAAGATCATAAGTCTTAATAAAAACCCTCAAGCTTAAGACCACAATTCCTAAGAATCTGTTTTTAAGGCAGGCGCACCCTGGGGTGGAGAGCTTCCGGCTGCAGGGCTCTATGACAGTAGGGCTCCGGGAGCTGTGAGGCTTTTGGGGTTCATTTTATTTGTAGGGTTTAGCGGTTCATTTTTTTAGGGTTCAGGGTTTAGGGTGTGGGGTTTAGGGTTTTGGGTTTAAGTGGCTTTTGGGGCTAAGGGTTTAGGGTTTAGGTGGCTTTTAGGGTTCAGGGTTTAGGGTGCGGGGTTTAGGGTTGTGGTTTTAGGATTTTAGGGTTTAGGGTTCAGGGTTTAGGGTTCTAGGATGCCCGGTAACCTAGGAATAAAAAGGGCTCCCTTTTTGGTATTAAGTAACTTTACAAGGTAGGTGGGTTGTGGGTTTAGGGTGGACCGCAAAAGTATGAAGAATAATAGCCTTGTGTTGGTGCTGGGTTATTATGTTCGCTTACTTTCGGTGATTTAGGTAGGGTTTTGGGGTGGGGAAATAGGGGTTTGGTGTTGAGGGATTGATTAGGGGCTGGGGGTTCAGGGATTCAAGGTCAGGGATTTGTGGTTTAAGGATTGAGGGTTTAGGAGTGGTTTTGGGGGTTTGGGGGTTTAGTGTTTACGGGCTTTTTAAAGACATACCTAGCTCAAAGCTGTCTCATCAAAACCTGGGGCCTGGAGCTTGGCACGGACGGTTTGCATCGCGATTCCGTCGATGGAAAACACTGACGAGAACTGCAATGGAATCCAGGTCCAGAAGTCAAGGAGTTTTGGTGTAAGCAGCTTGGTCCTCATCCGTATCTGCCAACTGCAGGACAGTTGCTGCAGTTGTGATCCGGACGCATGGGTAAGTGGCGCATCCAAGTGCGATCCGGCAGGTGAACGGGACGAGATTGTCCTTGCAGATTGTCTCCATCTGGAAACAACTGCGGAAAGAAAAAAAGTCCGGAAGGACGAGTAGAAGGAATTGAGCCGACAACAGCCGTGGGGCACCACAAAGCATGTCTCCTTCTCTGCCGGGCAAATGCTCGCTTCTTTAGGGCTTCTGCTTGAGGGCTCCGCGTCTTCAATTTCAAGGATGTAGGACCCTTGGTTTTCTCCAAGGGTAAAAGGAGGGACCCTTAAGAAGGACCCCTAGGTATATACCCTTAATAAAGCTATTATATACCCATTATATAGCCCATTATGGGGTAGGGGTCCCCATTGAGGGTCCCTCCTTTTCCCCTTTGATTTTCTCTGTTTCAGAGTTGGCGGTGTAGAGCTTATACTCCTTGACCCGAAAGGGAACTTTCCTGGAGCAAGGAAGTTTCCACTTGCTACATGGAGCCATCGGCCTGGCCCAGCTAGAATTTCAAGCTCTTGCCCTTACTCTACTATTGATGACCTGTACGTTTCAGCCTGCGCCGTTAAGCCCATAAGCCCCAAAGCCCGCAGCCGTCAGTGCTAATGAGGACCGCAACAAACGAAAGCCGCTCGCAGTTGGCTCCTCCTCCCCCGCAGGGCTGAGATCCCCGCCAGCCGGTCGATGAAGATCAGGGCTATCACATGGCACGAGTCATCTTGGATCGTGCTTTGCGATGGTTGGTTGGGGACGCAAGGGCTGCGTTTGTCGGGCTTTAGGACTTAAGGTTCTAGCTCTTCGAAGACAAGCCAATAATTTGAGAGTGAGGGTTCAGTCGGCATCCAGTTCCAGAGCGAATGCGCACAAAAACCCTTAGCTTCGGGCATGTGTGTTGCTGTGTTGATGGCGTTGACGACAAGAACCACCGTGATGACGACTGAGAAGGTGTTGGTCGTACCGCTGCTTCTGTTGTCGATGATAGTTGTGATGATGATGATGATGATGGTGAGGGCGGAATGATGATGGTCATGGTGATGACTATGACTCATGATGCTGCTGGTGATAGTAAGTTCGTGCGAAACTACTTGGCTTTAAACCTTACCGAATTTCTAGACCTAACTCCAAGCCCTCAGCAGAGTGTGACCCTTCTAGACCCCACAGACCTACATTACCTTAAACCCGAAACCTCATCCTGAGCGCTAGACCCTTCCTTGACCTACCAAAACCCACTTTTTGTAGGGTCCCCTAGATTCCATATTCGCGTTTATTACCATAATAGAACCCAAAAGAGTTGGGTAGTTGTCAAAATTATGGCCCCTTTTTGGGTACCCTAAATACTAGGTGCCGTATTAGAGTAAGGACCCAAAAAGGGACCCTAATATTGACAACCACCCATTTGGTTATGGTAGTTTAAAGTTTTTGAGTTGTCCTTTAAGCCCTTTGAAAATTATTTACTATGATGGTTCTCTACAAAATCGTAAGGGAAAGTAAAAGAGATCCCAAAAGGACAACCCAGTTTTTGAATGACAGGAGACGGCACTGGAAGTAGGTCGCGATGCGTTGGAGATAGGCCTCCACCCGGATGCCAGGGACCGCCTGACTTGGGTGTTAGGGTTTAGGGGCTTAGGGGTGTAGGGGTTTAGGGTTTAGGGGTTTGGGGGTGTAGGGGTTTAGGGTTTAGGGGTTTAGGGGCTTAGGGGTTTAGGGTTCAGGGGTTTGGGGTTTAGAGGTTGAGGGTATAAGTGTAGCTGAAAAGACCTACCTGTTTAGGATTCCTTAGTATGGTTTCTATATGTAGGTCTTTTGGGTTGAGCTCTGAGCGTTTAGGGTTTTAGGACCTGGGATTGAGGGTGTTACGGTTGATGATATAAATCCTGCATTACCTTAAGGACCCTAAACTATGGGACTTATGGTATATTCCTTATTATAGGTAACGCAGGATTTGTATTATCAACCGTAGGACTTAGGATTTAGGCTGCTTGGACTTAGCATTTAAGTTTTAGGGTGTCGCGGCCGATGGTAAAAATCCTGCATTCCCCATAAGAAGAAACATACCATGATTCCCATAGTATAATAAGGAATTTACATAATTCCCATAGTTTAATAAGGAATGTACCATTGTTCCCATAGTTTAGGGTCCTGAAGGTAATGCAGGATTTATATCATCAGCCGTAGGGTGTTGCGACTTAGGATGTTAGGGAGCCCCAGGCACGTACTTCTGCGACTAGGATACCCAGTAACCTAAGAATAAAAAGGCCTCTCTTTTTGTAACTTTATAAGGAACATTGGACTACAAAAAGGGAATAAGGGTACTACTGGGCATCCTAGTCTCGTGAAAGCCGAATAAGCCTTCAGAAAGCCCAGTTGAAGCTGTAACGGTTTAGGTTTTAGGGCTTTGGGGGTTTAGGGTGTTAGGGTTTTAGGGTTTAGGGTAAACTTTACGAAGGACTGGGTGTTCGGCTGATGCCAAAAAAATTTAAGGGGGTATAGAAGGGTTACAGGATCAGGGGCTCGTAGCAAGCAGGGCTTTTTGCAAGGCGACGATCTACTACGCATAACCTCAAGTGGCGTGCTTATCATCTCTGTTGCTACGCCCCATGAACCTCCAAATAGTCTTAGCAAGGAGCTCGCAAACTCCCAAGCCACCCTAATCAAGCCTGAAGCACTGAACCCCCTGACTAGCCTTAAATCCATCCATCCCCCCTCCAAACACGAAACTGGAACCAAGCCCAACACCACAACCCCTACAATCCTAAACCGAAAAGCCCTAAAACTCGAAACCCTCAGTCCCTGACCCAAAACCGTGAACCCTTCACCCCGAACCCTACACCCTAAACCCCTAAACCCTAAACTCTAAACCCTAAACCCTAAACTCTAAACCCTAAACTCTAACCCCTACACCCTAAACTCTAAACCCTAAACCCTAAACCCCTGAACCCTCATCCAGCCCCGACCCACCTTTGAGCGGAACGGGGAGGACTTGTCCTGGAAGCAGATCCGAGACCCCCACGGTCCAAACACCCCTTATGAGCGGGGCTGAGGGTTAAAGAGTTTTGGGTTTAGTGGTAGTTGCCAAAATTATGGCCCCTTTTTGGGCACCCTAAATATTAGGTGTCGTATTATAATGAGGACCTAAAAGGGACCATAATTTGGACAATCACCCTAGTGGCTTCGTTGGCTTTAGGGTTTGGAGGCTAAGGCTTAGGGGCTTAGGGTCTACATCCAAGCATCCTTTATGAGCGGGTTAAGGGTCTAGGTCTAGGGAGAATCATTTTGGTGGCTTGCGGTTTTGCAAAACATCCTAGCCCCGCAAACCCCAACACCGATACACCCTGAACCCAAACCCCTAAACCCTAAACCCTGAACCCTAGCCCAAACCCTCTAACCCTGAGTCCAGTCACCTGGCAACCCTACAACAAGCCTGCGACATGCGTATAACGGCCTAAACAATGCCTTTGTGACGCTCAAAACACCTTCGATTCTGAAAAGACTTTATGACCTGTACAAACCCTTATGAACTCTGATAAGCTTCTGATGTTAAACTCCGGGAACACCGCAAGCTATGGTACAGCTACGGCAGCCTTCTTATGCTGTTCTGTGCCTCTCACTGCTCGCCCTTCGGGAGTGCTGGGGAGGGGGGGCAAGTTTAGAGGGTGTGGGGAGTTTAAAGGGAACTCCAGAAAGTTGGAATATGGATTAATGGTAGGATCCCCTATAATTTACCTCAAAGGGGTTACGATCATGATATTCCAACTTTCTGGCTTCTACAGTAACTTAGTTTTTACTCCTCGCCCGCTGAGAATACCTCCAGAGACTGCCTCTGAGTGTCAAGCCCCAGAGACCACTCAAAGGATCATGGGACTTAGTAACTGGGGTGATAAACAAGGTAACTATACTTATAGCTACTTATAACCCCATTTAAGGGACTTATAATCTTACTTACTAAATCCCGTGACCCTCCAAGCACCCTGAGACTACCTGGAATGCCCAACCCCAGACTACCGGGAGACTACCCGGAGTATTACAACTATGATTATAATACCCTTAACCTAGACCCCAAAACCCTAAAGCCCTAAACCCTTATATAACATATCCCTCGAAGGAGCCCTCGAAGGAATCCATATAGGAAGCTTTTGGAGAAGTCCTCCGTCTCGGACTCAATGATAGACGTGTACCTTTCGGGTATTTGGATCATACAGGGGCCTAAATTGTACCAACACTCGCGGCCAATACTATTGTGAAGCTCCTTCTGGTAGTTAGAACAATATGTTACAGTGTAAAATCCACCCCCCCCCCAAAAAAAAACATGTGCTTTCTTGTTATGGTCCCTATATTACACTCTACACCCACGGCCGAAACAAGGAACTAGCAACTCTTGACAGTGTGGAAGCTTCCGAATCTCCGTTCACGCGCTGTTCTCGCCAGGTTCTAGGGGGCCTGTTCGACTCGGCTTTCGGTACGTTTTACACCTCTAGCCTTTAGCCTTTGGAAGTGTCGGTGCGTGCACAGTCTTAGCACTTTGTGCGGGTTGAGGGGAAGTACTTAAAGGATCATGGGACTTAATAACTAGGGTTATAATTAGGGTAACTATACTTATAACCCCAATTAAGGTACTTATAACCTTACTTACTAAGTCCCATGACCCTCCAAGTAGGGGGGGCGGCAGGAGGCGGTTGCATCCATTGTTGCGCACTACGTGCTCCATACGGCTACCAAAGTCCCGAGGTTCCATCAGGCTAACATAGGATCCTTGATGGGTTCCTTAAAGGGATCTATAAGGGTTCTATAAAGGGTTGAGGGGTTTAGGATTTAGGGTATAGTAAGAAACCTTGGGCCTTTATTAGGGTTGCTTATAAGAATCCTACTATTTTCGGATTTAGGGACAGGGTTGCCTAATCAGGTTCCTACATTATCAGACCCATGATGCTTCCAGCACTGTTGAGGTGTTGTCGGAGACCTGATTGATTACTGTGGCGGCTGTGACTGCTGCAGGGGAGTGCGGGGGGGGGGGGGGGGGGGGTCTGGCTTCAGTTGAGAGCTTAGGCCAGAAAAAGGGGCCTGTAATGATTTCCTATACCATTCTGGGGGTTCCTTGCTCTACTTATAGTATGATATGCCACCCAAAACCCTGATCTAATTATTTCAGCCCCGATATGGGAGTTTCCGAAAATAGGGGACCCTAATCTAGTACCTTAAATAGTAGGATCCTTAGAAAAAAAAACCCAAATAAGGGACCCCCAATTTTCGGAAACTCCCATATCAGGGGAGACCCTCGGCCGCTAAGACGAGGCGAGTCTGTCCCTTCCGTCTCTTGGGTTCAGGATTTTCGGAGGATTTTCCATGCTGGGGATCGCTGGGCTGGGCTGGGTTTCGAGTTTAGGGTTTAGGGTTCAGGGTTCAGGGTTTAGGGTTCAGGGTTTAGGGTTCAGGGTTCAGGGTTCAGGGTTTAGGGTTTAGGGTTTAGGGGTTTCGGAAGTTCTGCTTGTTTCGCTCTTGAGGGTTTTGGGCTTGGGGTTTAGGCTTGAAGAATTTAGGGATGTCTCTTGAAGCCGTGGTACACGGCAGAAAGGGCGTGGATCAGCTGGTCGCTGCCCAAGCCTCTCGCAGGTCACAAAAGACCGAGCTACGAATCCTGAACAGGGTTTAGGGAAGTTTCGGGGTGTAGAGTTTACCTGGACCCTACGGAACCTACCTTTTTAGGGTTCCCTAATATGATTTCTTTATATAAGTCCTTAAAAAGGTAGGTTACGTGGGGTTAAGGTAGGGTTTAGGGTGTAGGTCCTAAGCCCTAAACCCCTACACCCTGAACCCCTGCAACCAAAACCCTGAACCGGGGCTTGGGGGGTTGGGGGGCTTGAGCATCTCTCTCCTGCTACATGGGGCCTCAATACTTGCAATAAGGATTATACCATGGCTATGATAAGGAAGCCCTGGGTAACCACCAAGGCCCCTGCATTAGAGAGTTCGACCTCGCATGACAAGACTGCTGCCTTCAGATGCTCTCAAAGCTACGAAAAATGCCTGCCTCTACTCAGGGGAGCTCTTAATGCGAAGCGGCAACATCCTAAAACCGAAATCCTCAGTCCTACGTCCTGAAACTCAAGACCCTAACATCCTAAGTCGCAACACCCTAACACCCTAAAACTTAAATGCTAAGTCCAAGCACCCTAAACCCAAAGTCCTCAAACCCTCAACCCTAAGTCCTAAAACCCTAAACCCTGAACCCTAAAACTCTAAACCCTAAACCCTGGAACCCTAAAAATCCTAAGTCCTAAAACCCTAAACCCTGAACCCCTAAAACTCTAAAACCCTAAACCCTGAAACCCTAAAAATCCTAAGTCCTAAAACCCTAAAAGCTCAGAGCTCGACCCTCCGAATCCGGGCCCACCATCTTTGCATTAGTCGGGGGCCTCAAAAGGTAGGATTTGGGTACGGCCCCCCATACAGTAACAGTCTATAATCGGGCTACTATTAAGGGCCTTATATATCTATATTATGAATAACTGTTACTGAGTGGGGGCCGTACCCAAGGTAGGATGAAGGTAGGTGGGATGTTTACAAATAAGAGTCCTTATATAAGGGATCCTTAATCCCACCTACCTTCATCCCACCTTGTGAGGCTTCCAAATTCGGAACTTTACCGGGTTTCTCCCTGTTCACCGGCGTCTCGGCGCCTCAGCAAGGGCTTGCTGAGAAGCCGCCTTCTTTGTGCCGGAGATCTAGAAGCTCTGGTGGACACGCATGTCTCCAACAAAAGTCTCAGGAGCCGGAGTTCTCCCGGCGTAAGTCAAGCGAGGCCGCTGCATCAGAAAGGCGACCAGTTGAGCGAGAGCTGGATTTTGGCAATTCAACGGGCCTTCGATGAGGATGTTGAAAACCGTCTCGTCGAAGTGAAGTCGCGGTGCCCGAGAAGCTTCTGCAATGCTATCCCCAGGGTGCCCGTGTAGTGCGACGTAAACTTAAACTTGTTAGTTGGGGGTCGGTTAGGGTTTGCGCTTTGCCGTCCGTGGACCTGCAAACAAATTCTTACCAATACTTTTGTCCAGAACAGGTGGAATGCTCATAGAACTTCGCTGATGCTTTTACTGGCTGGCCGCCACTGAGCTGGCACTTCATATAGAGTTTGGGAACCCAATATTATAGTACCCTAAATAGTATTAAATAGTAGGATCCTTATTTTAGGGACCCCCCCAAAATATGGTACCCCTAAGTTCCGGAAACTCCGTATATAAAGCTTGGGAACGGGGCTTTGCATAGGGCCTCCCTCGTTCTAAACAGGGCTTCTGGGAAAATTGCCGTCTGTTCAACATATCAAAGGGGAAAAGGAGGGACCCTTAATGGGGACCCCTCTATACTGGGCTATATCATAGGTATATAATATAGCTATACTGAGGGTATATACCTAGAGTTCCTCATTAAGGGTCCCTCCTTTTACCCTTGGAATATTAGGACACTAAGGCGGGGCACCGTCAAGTGTCATGAAGACGGAAACCCAGACTAGCCGCCTCCCTTTCAAGAAATCGGAGACACCTGCTGGTGTTGTGGCTGCAAACCGGAAGGCCAAACAACAACGGACGAAATGTGAGGGTCGCCTACACTTCAGCACCCTAAACGTAACTGAACCTACCGGTCGAAACCAACAGCCCCTAAAACGGAAAGGTCTTGAAAAGGTCAACACGAAAAGATCCCTACACCGAAAGGTTTGTGTGCTGCGCCCCCCCCCCCCCCAGCCACAGTAGACCAAACCTAACCTAGCAGAGCCCTGTAGCATGCCAAAGCCTAGACCCTAACCTCTAAACCCCTTAACCCCTAAGTCCGCGGCCCGTCTTCTTGCCGGACGCCATCAGTGCCATGGGGCTGTCTGCCGGGGGATAAAAAGCGAAGACGGCAGAGCCTCCCCCCCAAACTGAACAGCTGCCAGGATGAGTGTACGGCGCCAGCACTTTTGAAGAACACGTTGAATAAAACACCCAGAAACTCAAGTTGGCTAGAATCCTGCAACAACCCCCAAAATCGAGAATAAGAAATTGAGCCTAAGCCTGTGTTCTTCTGCCACTATTACGACGTCTATCCTCATCGCCGGACCCAAGCTCTAGGCAGAAGAGTAACCTAGGAACAAAAAGGTGCCCTTTTTGGTTTGAAGGGGCTTATAAGGGAACGTGAACCCTGAAAAAGGGAATAAGGGCCTATAAGCCCTAAACCCCAAGCCCCAGGTCCTAGAAACTCTAAACCCCTACGCTGACGAAGATTCGGGCGTCCCTAGGCCTAGGGAGGGGGAAACCCGGTAGGCCCCCTTTTGGCTGTAAAACGAGTATATAGATGGGTTGAATGTTTGTAAACGGTATGAATCGAAACCCCCGCAAAAACCGATGGATGTGGGTTTCGGGTTTAAGGGCATCAGGATACAATCTCCGATTTTTTGGATCCGTCTTTCGTGCAGCCTGTCTCAGTGCTTTACACTGTGAAGCTGTCCAGCTGAAAGAACAGGCATCGGAGGCCAAGCAGAACCAGCGGATTTGATGTATGATCTGACCCTAAGTTTAAGCCTCAAACCCACCCAAAAGCCACCTCTCTACACAGGGACTGATGGTATGTAAGGAAATCAGAATCAGGAAGCCTGAAAATCAGCTTTTCCAGGCCGGGCTCAGGAAATCCCATTTCTTAGAAGCTCTATAGTCAAAACTTGGCTATCGGGGATCGGGCCGGAAGTATGTCGGGTAGTTTTGAGAACTGAAGGATAAATTCGAGAAACCTGGACCTAGACGGAACCCTTTGAGCCACACCGAAACGCACTAAGACCCGTACATTGAACCCTCCCAGGACCGTAGCCGTAACCATCCCTCAGCCCTACACCACAAAACCTGATTCAGACCCAAATATTCAGCCAAAAGTACATATACCCTAAGCCCTCAACCCTAGAAACCTGAAACACACCCTAGATGCTAAACTTTTAAACCCATCCCCAGAGGGTCCAAGTACCCAAATAGTAGGGTTTTAGATCCCAAAATCCATACTCCTAATGGTTTTTGGACCTTGAAACCCTACTATTTGGGCACTTGGACCCTTAGGGATCATCTTAAGTGCCATGGCCCTCCACCTGCAATGTGCCACGTACAGCCACTTGGAGTCAGAGTCGCTCTTGACTTGTTGCGAGTGCCATCAAGGCGGCTCGCGCCAAACTTCGGGGAGCCACAGCAGCGTTTAGGGCTTAGGGTTTAGGGATGTAAGGGTTCCTTACTACCCCAATAAGCCACAGAAATGAAAGGTTAAACTTTCCGATTCCTACTAAACTCTAAGAACCCAAAAAGTCTAAAGGTTAGGTACTGGGGATCTAAGTTCGATAAGTAGCCGATCTTGTAAAGTTCCTAGGTGTTGACGTCGTATACGACTTCTTTAGCAGAAGGTTCTATAGAACTTTTGGGTTCGAGGGTGTTCATGAACATTTGGGGTCCGAGAGATTTTTAGCGGGCAATACATTAATGATGCCACCGCTCAGGGTTGCGCTATGGCCCTGCATTTGATGCACACATTGCATGTATATGTGTATGATCTGCACATTTATGCGAATTGTTCACATGTGCACATAAGTATTAGTATTTATATATACACATTTATGCACACATTGCTTTACATACACATAACTCTGATATACGTGTATATATATATATATATATATAGTAATAATAACAATAAATATAATCTGTACCATATTGAATACATGGTATGTACATGTAACGGTAGCCGGCTGGGCTTCCCCGAGAAAGTGCGAATGCACGTAGCTCAGCTGCCGAGTCTCCCGGAGATCCGGAGGGAGGTTTAGGGATCTCAGGGTTCAGGGTTTAGGGGTTTAGGGGTTTAGGGTTTAGGGATCTCAGGGTTCAGGGTTTAGGGTTAGGGTTTAGGGTTTAGGGTTCAGTTTTTTTTTTTTTTTATGGGCTCTTTTCCACCTGCAGGTACAACTAGAACTCCTGTACTGGAGGAGCCTGTGGTTGGGGCTTCACAGTCTGAAGTTGAAGCACAGCTCATCTAGGATACCCAGTAACCTAAGAATAAAAAGGCCTCTCTTTTTGGTATTGGGTAACTTTATAAGGAACCTAGGACTACAAAAAGGGAATAAGGTTACTACTGGGCATCCTAGTCATCGACCTGATAAAACCCATCCCGAAACCCCTGAACTGAGGCCCCAAACAGCGGCAAGCACTCAGACGTCTGGTCAAGGGTGTAGGGTTTCAGGGTTTAGGGATCTGTGTACTTAAAGGATCATGGGACTTAGTAACTGGGGTTATAAACAGGGTAACTATACTTGTAATTACTTATAACCCCATTTAAGGTACTTATCACTTTACTTACTAAGTCCCATGACCCTCCAAGTAGGGTTCAAGGCTTAGGGATCTTTCGGGTTTAGGATTTAGGGATCTTTGGGGTTTAGGGTTTAGGATTTACGGATCTGTGTAGGGTTCAGGGTTCAGGGATCTTTGTGGTTTAGGGTTTAGGATTTACGGCTCTTTGGGGTTTAGGGTTTCGGGATCTTTGGGGTTTAGGGTTTAGGGATCTTCGTGGTTGAGGGTTTAGGGTTTAGGGATGCTTGTAACAAAACTGTGTTCAGACGCTTGTAAAGCCCAGGGCTTTTGGGGCTTCAGGGTTTGGAGCTTCCCGACTTAGGGTTTACGGTTCCGGGCCTTACAGGGGATGTCGCAAGGGCTTCGTTGTGAGGCTTTTAATTCTAAAAGGTCTTGTAGGGTGTACCTAGTTCCTAGGTCCTTCTTGATGGGGGTTGCTGTAAGTATTTACGTGTTGGTTGGCTTAAGGCGCTGTCTCGAGGTTACGGCTCAGGAAGAGATCTTGCACGCACACACACACACACACACACACACACACACCCGCGCCCGTGCGCGCACACAGTATCCAAGGTTAAGGGGCGTTTGCAGACAAGGACGAGCAATTCAACATCGTAAACCCATAAACTTTAAACCACCCTAAACCCACTACTCAACACCCAAAACCCTAGCGTGAAACCCTAAATCCAAGCCTCGAAGCCCAAAGCCCCAAACCCTGTACCCTAAACCCAGAACCAAAGCCCTCCAATAAGTTTCTCAAAGATTTTTGTGCTTCTGAAGTATGGGATTAGAGTTTTTGGGGTTCAGGGTTCGGTTATTTGAAGAATGCCATCTTCCAAACTGAGAGTGTAGGACACCTGGAAGGGAATCGGGTTTGGCATCGTTACGCACCCTTCGCCTAAGGGCTATGATGAGTTTTTTTTTCAGGTTTTGGGCTTAGGGCAGCCTAAACATCCCAACCGGCCCACCAAGAGGACAACGTGCAGATGAGGGCAGCAAACAAGAGTAAGTACAGGTACAACGCTCAGCAGGACGTCCCTGCCAGTTCAAAAAGCGGCGAAGGTGGGACCCGAATCCCAACATTTCAGACTCTAAGTGGGAGTTTCCCAAAATAGGGGACCCTAATATAATACCTAAATCGTAGGACCTTACTTTAAGGACTCCCAATTAAGGTACGCCGAAGTTTCGGAAACTACCAAATCCTAAACTACCCTGCTGCAAAGTATGCACTTTTCCCCCCAAAACCTATGCTACTTATTGCGGCCTCTATTTTATTCGTGCGCTAAATCAAACCCTGAAACCCTCTACACCAAAATCCAGACTGTCATGCTCACTGTCAACGGCTAAAGCCGGTTAATCATTCAGAATTATAACGCTAAGCAGTAACAAGGGCTTAGCACCGGGGAATGGTAATGCGAGTGAGGTTTTTGGGCATTACACATTACACTTTCCGACTTTGCAGACAACCCGAACGAGATTTTCAGAAATCACCAAACCAGATCCCAGGCTCAATTCCTCAACCCTGCCTTAGCCCCTAAAACCAGCAAAGCCTTTCCTTCCGCTTGCATCCGAGCTCTTACCGTAAACTACCAGAACTGTAGCAGCTTGCGGTAACACCTCCAAAATCGGACGGGCCCCACATTCAGTTGAGGATGGGGTCGGAGTTCGAAAGCTAGAGTCTAAGGCTCATCCAGAACTTTGAGGGGCCGGACTCCTTGCAAGAAGAGGGAGCCTTCATAATTGGAATGGGCCTCATGACGGTTCCTATAAAAGTATCGTTCCCCAAGCCCCGGTTTGGGGTGTCTCTCTCTGCCCATCGAACTGCCATCCTTGCGAACCTTATCTTAGATGCTGAGTTCATAGGCAAGTGTACACTTTCAGTTTTATGGTGGTTGATGTTCGCCCAAAAAATGTAAAGTGTATCCACTCAGCTACTAAGCTATATGCGCATGTCCCATTTTAGCGGCCCATGGGACCGTGTAAAAAAAGAATAGTTTTCGGATACTACGGTGGATGATATAAATCCTGCATTACCTTAAGGACCCTAAACTATGGGAATTATGGTACATTCCTTACTATGGGTAATGCAGGATTTATGCCATCAACCGTACAACCTTCGCGCCCCGAAGCAATCAACTCAACCCTTACCTATAATCTCCATTGTAGTTCCTTTTATCTGGTTTAACCAAATATATAATTAAGGATGACAACGTAACAGACTGTAGGTACTTCCCCAATACCACAGGCACCAACAGTTTCAACTCTGGAGCAACACGAACTATAAGAACCGAAAGGTTTGAACCGTTGATTGCGGAGAACCTAGTTCCTAAGTTCATAATCCCCCAAAAAGTGTACACGTTCAGTCTAATTTCGGGAAATATCACCCCAAAAAGTGTAAAGTGTATCCAGTCAGCTACTAAGGATAGGGACATCTCATGTGAACCGCCCTATACTGGAAGGGATATCCCTCTGAAAAGCTGATGCTTATGTTCTTTTTGGGTCCCTGAGGCTTAGGG